CTGGGCTGGCTCAGGGGGCGCAGGACCGAGCCCCTGGGGTGCAAGGCTGAGTCCTCGGGGGGGATGAGCAGGTTGGGGTGCTGGGCTGAGCCCTTTGGGGTGGAGGGCTGAGCCCTTTGGGGTGCAGGGCAGAGCCTTTCCGGAGAAGGGGCTGAGCCCTTTGGGGTGCTGGGGTGCAGGGCTGAGCCCTTTGGGGTGAGCAGGCCTGAGCCCGTTGGGGTGCAGGGCTGAGCGAAGCAGACCCTGCCAGAGGGGCTGTGCCCCCCCCAGCGCCGGGCTCAGGGCTGCTCTGCTCCCCTCCCGCCCTTCCCAGAAGTCGCAGTTCGTGCGGTTCGCCGAGGTCTGTCCCCTGAAGGAGTTTGGGTTTGCGCCGGAGCCGGAACAGTACCTGGAGGCGGTGGGCTGGGTGGAGGCAGTGGCCGGGCTGCTGCTGGCGTTCGGGCCCCAGCTCCTACAGGAGATCAGCAACTTCGTCCTCAGTGTCATCATGATCGGTGAGAACGAGTGGGCGCCCGCCGCCCTGCGTGGGGTCTCGGGGGACACTCAGGGAGGGACCTTGGTTCCCACGCTCTGCTCCTCGCCCAGGTGCCATCTACACGCTGCTGGTGCTGCGGGAGACCCTGGCCATGTGCGCCCCTGCCACCCTCTGCCTCGGCCTCCTCCTGCTGCTCAACATCCGCGGGCATGCGGCCCCCACCAAGCCCAAGTTCGAGTGACTGGAGGCGGGAAGGACGGACGGCTCAGCCAGCGGGAAGCAATGCCCTTATGGTATTTTCGGGGATGGCATCGCTTCCCGCGGGGTAACTTGCCGCTGAGGTGTGGTATGTCCTCTCCTGCCACTGCCAGGGGCTCTGGTGCTGGTTGTCCCCATGCTGCAGGACCCAGACTGGTGCTTTGGGATGGTGGCCATGGCACTGCCGTGGCACTGCCACTGCTCCGGGAGCTCCGTTGCTAAACTCGCACAAGGTGTCCAGCTCTTCCCAGCGTTCGGCCACACTGGGCTGGGGCTGGCTCTGCTCTCCTGGGGGCTTTTGTACTTTGGAATAAAGCCTCTTGTTTTTCATGTTTTGCCTCCCCTGTTTATTTCTGCCTCCCCCCATGCTGAGTTGTGGGGGCTGAGGGGCTGTCCTGGGGCTGGAGGCCCTGGTCCCCTGGAGCAGTACCTGGGGACAAGGACTGAGGACAGGCAGGAGCTGGCAGCAGCTGGCGTGGAGGCAGACAGCCGGTGGGGAGAGCCCGTGTGGGGATGGGAGCCCCCTGGCCACCCAGAGCCACCCAGCAATGTGCCAGGCCACTTGCTGCACATCCTGGGGGACAACAGCGACAACGCAACCCCCCAAACCCTGTGTCCAGGCAGGCACATGCTTTTTGGGGATCTTGCTCCAGTGGGGCCACACACCCACAAGGGACCCCTCTGCCACCCCAGATGGGCACGGCCAACGTGGTCTACTCAGGATGAACCCCAAGATCACGTTTGAACCCGGTGCATCTCCCAGCAAGGCAGCTGGGATGGCTGGGGGGGGGAGACTGGCCGTCTTGAGATGAGCAGAGGGAGTACAACACCTCCGTACCCCCAGCGGGACATGAACCACCTTGGGGTGGCACCTTTGATGTCCCAAAGGAGCACCCACAAATTGCAGGGCCATGCGAAGGAAGCAAGTCAAATGCTCGCAGAGTTTGGGCGGGCCCGGGGTGCTGCTCCCCCTAAATCCAGCTTTGAAGCCAACTAAAGCATTAAGAGCCGAGAGGAGGCAGATTCCAGCTTTGATCTCTTTCGGGGCATCCCCCTTTTCCCCCAGCTGCTGGATGTGGAAACTTGACCCTCTGCCACTTTCATCCCGGCGTGGGTGGGAAAAGGGCCCTGGGAAATGGTCCTAGATGGGGCTGGGGGCACGTGGGGGGGGCTGGCCGCACTGGGCACGGGCTGGCCGCATTGGAACCGGCAGGGCCAGCCCCTCCCCCGCACAGCCCCCACCCATCAGCCGGCGCAGGGGGTCTTAGCATGGCTCCGGCGGGGAATCCCCCGTTACATACACACACAGGTGCTTTCCCCACTCCAGCTGCCATCCCACAGGCACTAACCCCCACAGAGGCTTGCGACGGGGAGCGGGGGATCAGGCAGCCCCCATCAGCCGGCGCAGGGGGTCTTAGCATGGCTCCGGCGGGGAATCCCCCGTTACATACACACACAGGTGCTTTCCCCACTCCAGCTGCCATCCCACAGGCACTAACCCCCACAGAGGCTTGCGACGGGGAGCGGGGGATCAGGCAGCCCCTGCCTCCCCCCAGCACTTAAAGCCTCTCCCAGCCCAACTGGACCAGACGGCGAGGAGCAGCTGGAGGGGACGCAGCCGGTCCAGCCCAACCCGGTGGGGTAAGTAACCAGCTTGGCATGGGTGAGATGGAGCATCCCTGTGCAAATGGGGGTGGGGGAAAGAAAGGGAAAGGGGGACTGTCAAGGAGCTGGGGGCTCCTTGGGGGTCTGCACTGGCTCCACAGAACAATGGAAACCCACCGGGATGAGCCCTGAATCCCCCCCCAGCTCGGCAACTTGCGCCCTCCATGCCTCAGCCTGGTGTTGGGTGCTGCATGTGCTGAATCTGGCCCTGTTGTGCTGGAAAACACCCGCTGGGTGACTCAGTGCCGTCGGCGAGGTGTGGGCAGGCGGTGATGGGAGGTGAAATAGCTGCAGCCCTGGGATACAGCCATTGCGGCACAACGTGGTTTTCCGTGGCCAGGACCTGCAAACAGCGGGGTGGCAAGCCTGCCTTGCGCAGAGCTGGGGGGCGTGGGGGGCTGCCGGCCCCATGCTCGTACCCCCTCTCCGTGCCGGGATCTCTCCACCCTGGTGCACACTGAGCTGGTGGGTGACTTCCCCATGGGTGGGCTCCGTGTGGAGACTTGGAGAGCTGGGAGCGGGACGGGGCTGGGTGGCCCCAGCAAGCACGCGGCTGCGTGGGAGGTGTCAAGCCCCGCAGCTGCCAGCTGGAGCCGGCGCAGCACCTCCGGGTGCTGCCGGCTGCGGCTCTGCCCCTCAGCTGCGGCGCAGCTGGGCCTGCCGCTCCCCGGGGAGCCCTGGCCGGGCAGCTGACAGCGGCCCTGGGGCTCCCTCATGGCGTGGGGAGACGTGGCTGGTGTTGGGCTGGGGGGGGATCCCGGAGCCCCTCGTCTCCTGCGAGGAGCCGCTGGAGGCTGAGCCCCTCCAGCAGACGAGGGCATCCCTGCGGGGGGGCTCTGCCTCCAGTGCCCAGCAGCTACTGCAGGCGCCAGCTAGAGAGGTCGTACTGTCTGGGTCAATGTCCCTTCCCTGTCCCCTGAGGGCTGTGTTCAGGACTGTGCCACTGACTGTCCCCCCATCTTTGCAGGAGCCCGGGATGAACGTCTCAGCACCGGGGCCACTGCCGGCGGGGCACTCCGGCGAGTGCGTGCCCAGCGACCTGGTGCAGTTCGTGCTGGTGCCCGCCGTCTACTGCCTGGTGCTGTGCGTGGGGCTGCCGGGAAACCTGGTGGCCTTGCTGGTCTTCCTGCAGAGCGGCAAGGTGAGGAAGGCCATCCGCATCTACCTCATCAATCTCACGCTGGCCGACATCCTCTTCAACCTCACCCTGCCCCTCTGGATCCCCTACTACCTAGCTGGGGGGAACTGGCTGCTCTCGGAGGCTGCCTGCCGCCTGGCCGGGGCCGCCTACTACCTGGCAACCTACAGCGCCATCACCTTCATGGCGCTCATCAGCTTCAACCGGTACTGCGCGGTGCGGGCGGCGCGGCGGGAGCTGCCACTGACGGGGCGCCGGGGTGCCACGCTGGCCTGTGCCCTGGCCTGGCTGCTGGGGCTGGGCTGCTCCGTGCCCACCTTGGCTGCCCGGCAGACCTTCCCTGCCCGCGCCGGGGCCACCGCCTGCTTTGAGCAGCACGGGCAGCAGCGGGCGTATGCCTATGCCATGGTGGGCTTCTTTGCTGCCGCCTTCCTGGTGGTGCTGGGCACCTACGCCTCCATCGCCCGGGAGCTCTCAGTGCCTGCTGCCGCCCTGCCGGGCTCCCACCGGCAGCAGGCGCGTGCCATGGTGCTAGGGATGCTGCTGGTCTTCGTGGTCTGTGTGGCCCCCTACCACCTCACGCTGGCCCCCTGGGTGGGCAGCCGGCCCCCTGTGCCACTCTGCGGGCCCCCCGCCACCCTGGACATGCTGCACGCGCTGAGTGTGGCCCTGCTCAGCTTCAACAGCTGCCTCGACCCCCTCGTCTACTGCTTCTCCATCCGGCGCTTCCGTGCTGACCTGGGACGGACCCTGCGCAAGATCAGCCGGTGCCTCCCGCTCTCCCCACCGGCCCCTGCTGGGCCCATGCCCAGCGCCCGCACATCCTCCTTTGCCTCCTCGTAGCGGGGTGGGCACCGGGGTCCTGCCCCCCAGCTGCCCCGCAGCCACAGTCCCGGCGGGACGGGGTCCCTGGTACCCGGCTAGGGATGGGGAGCAGCGTGGGGGGAGCTCTGGCTTTGTGCACCCCCCCTCCTCCTCCTCCCATCCCCGTTCTGCTCTCTGTGCATCCCCACGCGCGCACGGGCCCACGGTTTCTGTTCACGCATGGATCCTGCCCTCTGCATTCGCAGGCACTGGGGGGGCGGCTCGCCTGGTGAGGGGGGGCTGAGCTGCCGCAGGGGGAGGCTGAGCCATGGCAGGATGTGGTGAGACAGGACAGGGAGGGATGCCCAGGGGTTGCTGTCCCCTTCCGGGGGTCTCCATCCTGCGGGGACATGCATGACCAAAGACACCCATGGCATGAGCCGGGCTGCCCAGGGCGGGGCTGTTTGGGGCCCCATGGCCGGTCCCGTTCTGCAGCAACTGCACCCCGCGCCAGCCGCTCCTGCGCCCCGCCCCTTGGCGCAGGTGCTGCACACCGAGCGGCGCCAGCCGCTCCTGCGCTCCTG